AAAGCTTTGAAGAACCGGAATGTAATGTCCACAACGGTTTTTAGGTAATGTCCACAACGCAATGTTTTGAAGATAAAAAATATATTGAAATATCTTTGAAATATTTTTTATTGTAGTAGTAAGCTTTTATCACCAACAAGTGTAGCCATAATATTGACTATTGTTAAACATCTCTCAAATCACAGGAAATAAAGAGAAGCAATTGAAAATGTGGTAGTTTCATATGTCATGTCCACAACACAGTTTAAAAGCTTATTTTTCAGTTGACAAAAAGGAAAAAAGAAAAGGCTTTGTACCAAATTATAGAAACTCCATTTAAGTATCCAACATATAACTTTTAGCTTCTAGATTGAATTAGCAAAGAATTTAGAGGAAATTAAAGATTCAGAATTGGCTTTTCGCCCATTATATATGTATATAGTTTGCGTTTCTTTTCCTTTTTTTGTTTTGTATGATGAGAATTATAATGGAAAATTTCAATCTTGAAATCTTTGCACTTCATACATGGTTATGATTTCTTCGATATTTACAACGTTAAAGATGAAATTATGATTTGAACTAAGGGAGTACAGCTTACAGGAAGCTATAAAAGTTGCAGCTAGTAGCGGGACCTAATGGCGATCGATAAGACCATTGTTTACAAAATGGTAATTCTTTTCAGTTAAGTTGACCTCAAAGTTCTCGAATATGATTATTTTTGGTTTGTGCTACTTACAGCAGGGGCTGATGGGTCTTCTACTATATCGCGAAGCACCAGTTCTTTCATTGGGTAACGGTTTGTATCAATGGCTTGTGCAGTTTCTTGATCTATTTAAACACAAACAAATTATTATGGATTCTTCTACCGTCCGATTTTCAATCAATGTTGTGCGCGTGCATATAAGAATGCATTCATGACGTCGATATTTGAATGCATTGGTGATTGATGACGTCGTGATTTGATTGCATTGATGACGTCGATATCCGAATACTTTGATGACGTAAAACATTCGAATGCTTCGATAAAGTCGATGTTCMACTGCTTTGATGACGTCAACATTCGATGCTTTAATGTCTGCGTGCGATATTCGGATACTCGGTGACCCCTTTTCATCCCTTTTATCGTTCCTAACCGCACTCAAAAATGCGTTTTGCATTGCTTTTAATATCCTTAAGAAAAATAGAGCAATTCTTTGAAATAGTGCGGGTCATATTTATCTCGAAATCCAYAGCCATGACCATGACTTTTCTTGTTTTTCAAACCATATATCCTAATGTATGTTAAAGTATGTATGGGACCCTTTGGTAAGATTATGATTTGACTCACCAAATGTAAATAAAATGACAGTATTAATGACATGGTTTGCTTCAAACTCCATTTCACCAGCAAAGAAGTCCTTAATGGCCTCCCATATCAAATGCCACTTGGCAGACGATGTATCAACCTTAACAACTTTATCAGCTCTCTCAAAATATCCAAGGAAATCAGTGACTGAATTGGTGTAAAGCTTAAAGCGTCTCTGTGTTCTCCCAGTATCAACTTCATCACCTTTATCAGTTGAACCATCAACTTGTCCCGTGCCTACAAAAATAATCTGTCTTTTACAATGGAAACACAAAAGTTACAAGTCTATTTATTAAAAAGTTCTGTAAACATATAGTTTGTTAAGATTTTTTGCATTTCCTATTTTTAGGGGGGGAAGTCCCTTTTTCAGAGCTCCAAGTCTTTAACAGGGTTTCATTTTTTGCCCATTTGTCTGGCTGGGATAGGGTTGTAGTTTTGTCTGGGATAGGGTAGTAGTTTTGTCTGGGATAGAGTAGTCTTTTTATCTGGGAGAGTGTAGTTTCTTTGTCTAGGATAGGGTTTAGTCTCATTGTCTGGGGTAGGGTGGAGTTTTGCCTGTGATCGTATCTGCTAGGTCACACTTTCAGCGCTAAAATAATGTACCTTTATTGTACCTTTAGTCTGGGGTAGGGAATGTAAAATCACAACAATTGGTCTGGGATAGGGTATGGGTTTTGAGGGTTGTGCTGAACACCTCCACCCAAGTTGGGATCCCTTGGTGCAACTGTATTATTGGGTTTTAAAATACCAATTTGTAAAGTACCTGGCTTAGCAGTGTGATCTGGCTTTATACAAGCATGGCTGGTTTTGATGTTTTTTAGCAGATCTTCTTTGGTCAATGTCATATTCAGAGCAAATGCAATAGGTATCTAAATCAGCAATCATACAGTAATAAACAAGGCTTTAAAAACCATTTTAAGCAAACTTAAAACTCTACAATAATTCTAGCAAGATGAGGCTAAAGTCCCATGCGCATCAGAGAACCTTTGTGCAATTTTCTCACATACAAAAAATCACKATCTTTGACTATGAACCAATCACAATTAACAACTTTCAACAGATCAAATTTAGCAAAACAAATGATCAAAAAGTTCTGTGGATGTACATGGGCCTCTAACATGGAGCAAAACTCTCATACCAACATTAATTGGAAAGGCAAAATCTATAGTACAGGGCTATGCATTTTTAAAARGTTGCCTGCATGCTGATTGCCATGTTACAGCTAAATCCATCAGCAAACATAATATGATTTAAGGAATAAACGACGAAATTCCGTGTTTGATACTCTGATCAAAACACGCGGGATGTAGGGAGAGCACGAGAGAAGCGTAGGAAACCACGACGCGTAGAGTATCAAACACGGAATTTCGTCTTTTATTTCTTTTCTAAAATTAAAAGAAAAAAAGAAATTTTTGACGRGCACGAGCGTGTTTTGATAKTGTAATCAAACATGGTTRTCGARCAATCACAGCGCGCGTAGTATCCTAAATATTTTAGAATATATAATAATATGACATCAATGTAAACAAACCTGGTTTTCAAAATCACTAAGCTCCTTGTCACATTCCTTAATAAAACTCTTTACTCTCAACAAAAATTTCAAATTAGGAATCAGATCAACCAACACCAGTTTTCCAGGATGTTTTTTAATCTCATTTGCTACCAAGCTTAGCACATATTCCAGGGTTAACACATTTGGGTATTTATTGAGTGCTTTGACCAAACCATGGGTTCCAACTATTGGTTCAACCTCTATCAATCCTTCACATTCTTTCTGATCATGCTCAAAAAGCTTTTGTGGTAGGTGCTTGAGAATTAATGTCTCAGCAGAAATGAAGACAAAATCAAACATGTTTGTGAGGTCATTTACAATGCTTCCTTTGGTTGAGCCAGGACCACCTGTTAAAATATAAACATACTACATTGTATACACCTATTTTTTTAAATGAAAAAACAAACAAACCCTGCACTGAATAAAATGGCCTTCTTTACAGATAATGCAGGCTATGCTTTAACATCAAAAGTCAAATAATGATTCGAATTTCTGTCTGAGTACTTAATATATTTCCCTCAGTATTAGCTGCAATATGACAAATTACCTTTTTTGCAACCCAACAAAGTTTTTCAATCATTTGCAAAAAGACAGAAAAGATTGCATGATGCACAGATACTATGTGTGAGCATGAGCATGCAATCTTGAACAATATGCTCGTAATTTAATTAAAGGTGAAAAAAAAAAACAAAAACAAAAAACACAAAGCTAAGTATTGAACTTTGATTATTATTAAATATTCAACCTTTCAAATATAACTTTACTCGAGCTATAAAATAATGGTAACACATAATATCAATCACTTTGGTAGATGTACTTTCTCTGTCGACAATTCAAGTTACAGATAAATGAAGACCTTAAACTGTAAAACTGTTAACTGAGTCAAAACTTAATTAAGTGGCACTCTATTAAGCGAACACCACCCATTGTCCAATGGTCACTAATACTAAATTCCAGAATTTTRCCTCACATGTTTAATGTAAATTATAGACCTCTATTATTAGCGGTCACCTCTATTTAAGAAAATATAAAACGGCGCATGGGTCTCTGTCCTCTGATATAAACACGGTGGGAGTTCGAAAAACACAAGAGAAGCAAGCTTAGGAACACAAGCGTAGCTTAAAAATGCAGTCGCTGCATATGTATGCAAACTTGCATTGCTTTTCACTTTTATTTAGCAGTTTAGCAGTTTTATAGCAGTTACCTAGAAATCTGGCTGTTTAAATATATTGATGAATGACACAAAAAAATACACAAATGTCACCATTCTTTAAAAGAGTTAATTAWGCAAAAATCAGAGTCAATTCAAGACCAATGCAAAAACCAAGCAGGAGATTGTACAGGAGAGTCTACACAGTCTAAATACTTAAAACCTCTATCAGTAGGTCAACCTGATCTATTAGGTGCTCACTTGGCTAAGTCCTGTGGGTGACTGCTTAGTGGAAGTTTGACTGCATATTAATATTTTATTTTTTCATCATTTATTTTTCTTAATGCAAAAGCATTGTGAAATTAAGATATGATTAAAAAAACAGCTAAAATCCTTATTCAGCATCACTGCCTTTATTTTTTTCAAGTATAGATCCTGAACAATGTTGATAATCAAAGTTTGATTAGTGCTTATTAATCCAAACTCTAGAACTCCTTCCAAGGCTTTGAACAACCTAACCGTGATGACTGGGTGAACCTATTACAATCAGTGGGCTGCAATTCAATAACATGGATTTTATCTGTCTTTCAAAATACTAGTTGAATTGCTAGGAAATGTACGGCACACATGGACAGGTGTTTAACATTRAAATAAAGCATTTGCATAACAAAATAATCCAAACCAACATCATATATGAAGTATTGACCATAACATTGCATTTCTTTGCACTTCATATATGATTTCTTCGATATTTACAACGTTAAAGATTAAATTATGATTTGAACTAAGAAAGTTCAGCTTATATAACTTACAGGAAGCTATAAAACTTGCAGGTAGTAGCMGGACCTAATGGCGATCGATAAAAAGACCATTGTTTACAAAATACTGAACGTGGTGTGATCCTAAATATATCAATCACAGCTAAAGATTTGAAAAAATATTTATCAAAACTTCAACCCCGAAAATTTGAAGTTTGCAGATAACTTTTAAGCTTAACTTAAGTTAATAGTCAAGATTTTTATACCAGAAAAGCTAGATTCAAGCCGGATTATTATGAGACAAGATTTCATAATTTAGGCAAGTCTTCGTTCAAATCAAGCACTCAATGCAAAATAAAACACAAGACTATAATTGCAAAAGAAAAACATACCAAAAATGAAGACAACTCTATTTTCAGGACTAAGTTTTTTGACTCCATTACCAATCTCGACAGGAACGTCAGGTCTTTTCACTAAAGTATTTCGACGAGAAAAGTCAAATGTTGATGCACTGCTTTCTTTCTTTGCTGGAGTGCTCGAGCTGCAGCCCATCTTAATCGCAAAGAGCCTAAAAATACGACAGGAAATTACTACATTGTTGTACAATTTCCACTTGACGATCGACGTGTAGTGAACTGTGAAAGATTTGACACGATTTGAACAAGCGAGACCTAGTTGTTATGGCAACAATTGTCTTGCGCACTTACCGTCACATGACGTATCAGTCCTTCGCGCGCGCAATTATTTATTAAAAATATAATCAGGAGTCCATGATATAATTTATTTCAATTTTCAGTTTACATTATGATCATAATATTGTATGATGAAAATGTTGTATATTCAGCTCGTGCTTCTTGACATTTTCTCGTGTGTTTCAAATGTCAAGCGTGCGTTTATCAGAGTATAAACCACAGACTGAGACTTATTTGTTTTATTATATAGATTTTGAGCAAAACTTAAGCAAAAATCCATTTTGTTGCCGTTTTCAAAAACATAAACCACACTTTTTTGGCCAATCAGAGCGCACATTAGAATTCATCTATATAATAAATTAATAATGTTGTATGCTGATAATGTTGTATGATCCGTATGATGTTGTATGATGAATCATACAACATTTTCATCATACAACATAATCATCATACAACATTATGATTATACTACAATATCATCATACAACATTATCATCATACAACATTATCATCATACATTATCATCATTTCTAAAATATTTAGGATACTACGCGCGCTGTGATTGGTCGAAAACCATGTTTGATTACAGTTTCTAAAATATTTAGGATACTACGCGCGCTGTGATTGGTCGAAAACCATGTTTGATTTCAGTATCAAAACACGCTCGCGCGCGTCAAAAATTTCTTTTTTCCCGCCGTTTGCATTTGTTGTTGTTATCATTCATTTTCAAGAACAATGATCAAAGAAATGCCTATTTATGATGTCCTCTGGGATGATATCCCAGAAGAAGAGCTATCAAACGTTTTAGAAGCTACAGAAGCTGCAGACAACTTCAATGTAAGGAGAATTCATCGTTTCATATCGTATCAAAAGTCAGAATTCTTTACAATTTTCGTATTCTTTTAATTTTAGAAAAGAAATAAAAGACGAAATTCCATGTTTGATACTCTGATCAAAACACTTGGGATGTAGCGAGAGCACTCGAAAAGCTGGAAACCACTCCGCTACGCGTCGTGGTTTCCTACGCTTCTCTCGTGCTCTCCCTACATCCCGCGTGTTTTGATCAGAGTATCAAACACGGAATTTCGTCTTTTATTCCTTAAATAACATTATCATTACATCATATAACATTATCATCATACAATATTATCATCATACTACATTATCATCATACAACATTATCATCATTTATACAACTTTTCAGTAAAATCAGACGTTTTGATTGGTTGGCTTTCGTGTGTTATCAAAGTATAGATACACCGATTACGTCAAAACTAATTGTTTGTTGTATAAAACAGATAGATCTCATTTTTCCGTGCGTGTGTACTCTAATAGATACACAGATGACGTCAAAATGTAGCGAGAACAACAGTCACGCACTCGACTGCGTCTCGTGCGTACTTTTTTGTTCTCACTACATTTTGACGTCATCTGTGTATCTATTAGAGTACACACGCACGGAAAAATGAGATATATTTGTTAAATATCATTTTTAATAATACAACATTATCATGTTAGCTGTCTGCCACACAGCATAACCCTCTGAACATGAACTGTGATCCTAGTAAAGAATGCAGGTTTTTCTTGGATAGAGTAATGTACTTACAGTTGGAACTGGCAATAATCCTTTAACTCTTTAATTTGAATAATAAAAGATGCATGGAAAGAGAAATGTGTTATTTTATGGGCTGCCGGCCATTAGGGACGGTCCATTTAACATTTTTTGGGGGGCTTAGGGTGGTGCAAGATTTTTTTTAGGTCCATATGTTGAGCACGATTTTTATTTTTGGTGAAGATGACTTGCAGGATTTTTTTTTTCAAAACATCCACCCCCCACCAGACCATTGGAATACGGAACCCAGAGTTTCGGTATGCGAAATCCACCACTTGGAATCCAGTATCCACCATGGGTCCGGATTCCCYTACATGTGGCGAGTCATATGATCYTTTCCTGTTGGATACTATTTTTAGCAAAAGGGACTTTCCCTATCTTCAGTAGAGTCAACAACATACTTTTCTTACCCAGTGGAAGATGTATCTATATTCCATGATACGTTTTGCCGATATCTTCAAGAAGAAATTTGCACTTGCATGTGTATTTGTGGTGATTATACCGATTGCATCATGCCGTACCCATTTCAAGCAGGAATCAAAAGAGATCGGTGAGCTAGCTAT